CTCTCTCACACACACACACACACACACACACACTCCTAACACTGAAAGCTGTGCTGGTTTCACGTTGTGCTCATGCACCTTGAACTGTCTCTATAAATGATTCCTTCAGAGAATCTTCCCTGTATTTCCATGAGCTCTTATATTTGTGTTTCTCCGCTCAGAGACAAGCGAGAGGACTTTGCATCGAGGTCACGGATGATTGAAGATGAGTCATGAAGAGTTTCTCTTGTATTAATGTTCTTTTCCCTAACAATCCTCCTGCAGAAGCATCATATTCTCTGTGACTCACAGGATATTAAATCTGCTGTATTAATGAAGAAAGAGCCGACGGATTGCTGGACCTCAGTTTATGTCCTTCTGCATTTCTCTGCTGCTCTTTTCCTTTCAGTGAAAGCATTGCATTAGGTCCCTTCCTCACTTACAGTATGTCTTCAGAAGACACATTTATATGGTGTTTTTTGACCTTTTGGGAGCTGCACAGCTCACTGTTTTCACTGCATGATAAGAGCAGCATGAATAATCTGCTAAATATCTCCTTTAGTGTTTGACAGAGGACTTCAGCACATTAGATGTGTGTTAAACCCAGATCAGAGAGCTGTGTGTGGATCTGCTCCGTCTGTAAGGTCTGGATGGTCAGGAGAACACTTTCATGTTCCTCTTATCTTCTCCAGAACACACATAAAAAAACATACATAAGAAGAAAAATAAATGAATGAAAATTAGATTTTTTTCCCATTAAAAACCAACCAACCCCAAAAAACTAAAAAAAAATATATATACAGTTGTGCTCATAAGTTTACATTTGCAGAATATGCAAATATGTTAATAATTTTAACAAAATAAGAGAGCTCATGAAAATTGCATGTTATTTTTTATTTAGTACTGTCCTGAATAAGCTATTTCTGTTTAGCTCCATAAATATTATATATTAGATTACATTATTGTAATTATATATTAATATATATATTTTATATTAAATAAATAATATATACATAAATTTTTTTAATATTTAAAAACTAGAAAAAATGAAATAGCAATTTCTTTTAAACATTCTTAAATAATATAATCAATAAAACAGTGCACTTTAGAATATTTTAAATATTTAGGATCATAAGTAAATGAATGTATTTATTTATTTTATTTTATTTTATATATATAAATTATAGGTCTTTGTCATTTTAATTAATTTATTCAAGAAAACCTTAAAAGGTAGAGGATCTTCTCTTCTCTCTTGTTATTATGACCGTTATTCATTCTCTCTCTCTCTCTCTCTCTATCTCTCT